CGAGGTCACTGGGTTGGAAGCAGACAGACTGAACATACTAAATAGGCCTGACTTTTAAAGTGCTCGTCTCCATGCTGTGGCAAGCGAAAACCGTGAAGGCCCCTGCAGAAGAATTATATACTATAGAGCACATCTGGTGAGAAAAATCCCATGTAGCTGGAGCGACAGTTTTGGTCAACCCCGTCATCTCTCCCCTCCGAACATAGGTGTTGCCCCCCTCCCCCTATCGGAGCCTCCCGCTGGGGGAGGGGGGCGGGACGGATGACTCATTCCTTTTCGCCCTCCCTCCAGACCGCTTCTCCATGTGGTTGCAAGGGTGGAGATTGGGGCCTCTCGTCCTCCCTGACAGATGTTCCCGCATTTTCCCCCTCCCCCTCCCTGCGTCAGCCCCTTCACCACACCCGTCCTCCACCTGATAGGCATCCCAATTAACTGACCCCTGGTTCCCCTCGTAACCTACCAATTGCCCCTGGCATTGTCTCGCCTTTCCTCCGGTTGAGTTGAAATAAGGCAGGGATTTGCAGGTAACCTGAACTCGGTAGGGGTTTTTCTGGTGACGTCGTTTTCGACTACACTCCCTCACTTTTACTACTCTGTCGCTGTTTTTATTCTCATTGTTGATCCGTTTTGCTAACCTGCAGTTCACCCTGCTGCATTTGCAGAGACCTTCGCACGGGAGAGGCCCGAGTTCGTCTGGCAGGATCGCACGGGCTGTTCGGTTTCCGAGCAGGCCAACGCAAAGCTCTCATACGCAACTGTCTCCTCCAAGTACTCCGTTGCCTCACCCGCTGTCTCTTTGGAAGGTGAAGGTAAGCCTTCACTCTTTGAAGCATCTTTCGGAATTGATAGCCCAGTAATCCTACGGCCTCGCGATAATCCCATTGGCTAAATTTCACAGCCAATAGTTTCTTTTTCGGATGTTCGTTTCTGCAAAAACTAATTACCGCGTGGAAGATTGTGAACGATTTTGTTACTGTCAAGCTGAGCGGCCTTCTCATCGTAGGATCCTATCAAAACTTGTCGCGTTTCAGCTTGTGCGCTTGCAACCGTACGCCACTTTATATGTGCCTCCCTAATCTCCAAAGCACCTTTACAATCCCAAAAATGGCAAGTGCTGTCTTTCACCAACGTAGCTGAAGAGGTCCGACACCCGAATTACGTCATCGCTTCCTTTCACCAATTAGCCGGGTCGGAAGTGGTGAATTAGTCAGCCAAATTTTCGAAATTAAGCGTCCTTGTTCCAAATGTTTGGAATGTGTCCATGTTCTGTAACAGTTCAAACCGAACAGCCATATCGGCAGTCTCCTCAACGATAAGCATATTTAGTCGAGAAAGTGAAATAGCACACGAGAAAGAAAACTGGCGTTTCGAAGACCTTAGCTGTTGTTAGAACGTTAAATGCACAAAAGCAAACAGAATTGCAGGAGCTGGCCAACGCTCAATACGACTGACTTTCTCCTGTCTTTACGTAGGCAATGGCATATGACTGTGTAAACTGAAAGACGGTCATTAGACCTGGTGATGGAGTCAGAAAACCACGCCTTAGGTGTGAGTCGTCCGGTCTTTGGACTGCCTCAGCCTAGAATGGTCGCTCCTCTAAGGTCAGCCGGGAATTACATCCCTTGTCCCACTCACGGACTCCCCTAGCCTGGTGGTAGAAAATGCTGGCAGGAGCTCCGTTAAAAGGGAGTGGGAAGGGGCGAACCATTTCATTTAACCCGAGTGACTCACACAGGTCGGAACATATTATTTGGCGGCGGACGCGCCTGGAAATTAGCTCCCCAGCAAGGAGGTTGGCGTCCGATTGCATGACCATTAGCCCCCACAAACTCACCCTTTCTCCCCTAACTCTTCGCATGACCTTTTTTCTTCCATTCTCTTCACTTCTCATTCTCCTCCTCATCCAAAACACTGAGTCACCAGTTCAGAACTGTGGATGAGTAGGGGACACGCACTAAGTTGGAAGGGTTTATTATCCATGTTAGTATACCAGCCTAGCTTCTCGGCCACAAAACAACACATCTGGACTAACTGAACTGTAGCAGAAACGGGTTGACGCTTAAATGAACTTTAATTTTGCAACGTGCTCTGACCTTCTCGATGGTTTTACGGGTGAGTTGTAGAGTCGTCTGAGCGTTGTGGAGTTTGCGGATACTCAACTGATCCGTTCTATGGTCAGAAACTCAAAATCAAACGTTGAGTTCTCCCACCCAGTTCTGAGAATGGTGATCGCCAGTCCTCTTCGTTTTAAGAGCTCACTGAAAACTCAACTAAATGATTGATGGAGATCTTTTTAGGTACTGGTAACAAGAATGATTACAAGCACCCTAGCATGTCGTTGTGCGCCTTTGTTTTCCTT